AATTCCAAATAAATGGCATCTATAGCATCTTATATTAGGTATATGCTGACAATTAACTTTCTGTTCTGTAATTAAGATCTGTTATTGAGCATACTTTATTTTCTAATAATACAAAATAGCTAAACAAGGGCAGTGAATAGGTTGTCCTTTCTATAAATTTTGTGTGTATATTTACACTGACAAAGAAAATTGTGCATATGACAATAATGCCAAGTAAAATATAGTTTATAAAGATCAAAGTGCGTATCATAACGATACTAAGGATATATTACTAAATTAATAATCTCTCTATCAAGTAATAAGATTATATATGTGAACTCTAGTACACTCCTTAATTTGTTCATGCCAACAAAGAAATCACATACCAGCCTGACCCAGTCACGCTACATTTACACCTAGATTTCTAATTACAGAAGATTCTTGGATGACGTATGTATCAGGGAGTATTGGGTAACAGAAACTTAGTTGACCTTATATATTACACAAGCTAATAAAAATTCACCCTATATAATCATTTTATATAAAACTGCTTATACAATCAGTACATAACTAGGCATAAACACGCACATATACATGTAGGCATACACAAAACATGTACAAATTTATTATTTAAGGGATGTTTGCAGTACTTACTTTGAACGCCGCACACAGCATATCGTTAAGCAAAGGGTTACTGATTCTGACCCCAGTTGACAGATGGGAGCCCCAGGTATTGAATGGGTTCCCAGCAGGGAAACTGTCCATGCTTAAAAAATGATGGAATTATTTGATCATGGGTCCTTAAAGGGACACTCCAGGCACCAAAACAACTTTATCTAAATTAAGTTGTTATGGTGCAATGAGTCCCCTGGAGGCACTCTTACCTTAAGGAGGTAAACCTTCTCTAACGGTTTAACCCCAAAGTTGCCTCCAGCACTGATGTCTACTTCCCACCAGGTGGCATTCGGCTTCTGAATTTTAAGATTCAGGAAGCCCGGAGTGCCGCTGATTGGCTGAGAGCAGTCAGCTGACACTCTCAGCAAATCAGTGGCACCCCTGCCTGGCTGCACTCCACGCTTCCTGAACCTAAAAATACAGATACCATTTGGGAGAGTGGAGATCGCCATTGGAGGCAACTTTAGGGTTAAGCCATTTGAAAATGTTTGTAACACCGATCCTTCTACCCCGGCTAGGTACCACCACCAAGCTTGCTTCCTAGCTGTAACCAGGCCACCAGGAGCAATTCAGCCCCAGTGGCCGCTGCTTGACTGGGGTCCACCTGGAACTCTCTTACCCGAGAGCAGGGTATTATACCAAAGTGATCAGACTCTCCTGCACAGGGTATAGCTGTTTATATACACAGACCACCAGCATGGGGTCTTTATTGAAATCACAATTAGCCATGCCCTGGTGCATCTGGGTCTGGGACATAATTGAGTTGTCTCTCGTTAAGCTAATTAACTCCCAGACACATAGGTATTAACTTAATTATTCCCTGCACAAGAAAAACCTTAAAAACAAATAGAAAACAGTAATGCATCCCTAATTAGTTTCTTCACAATGTTTTAACCCTTGAGGTAAGAGTGCCTATGGGGACCTCCAGGCACCATAACCATTTAATTTAGATAAAGTTGTTTTGGTGCCTGGAGTGCCCCTTTATGAGCGACATCCATGAAGGAATAATTTAATCATGCATTTTTAAGCGGTTAAATGTTTGGCAATATACACTATATTGATTCCAAGATTTTGGAGTGTTTCTGTGGGAATTTGTGCCCATTAATACAGTACAGCATTTGTGAGGTCAGGCACTGATGTTGGACAAGAAGGCCTATCTCGCAATCTCCTTTCCAGAAGGTGTATGATGGGGGTTGAGGTCAGGGCTCTGTGCGCCCCAGATAAGCTCTGCCACACCAAACTCATCCAACCATGTCTTCATGGACCTTGCTTTATGCACTGGGACACAGTCATGCTGGAACATAAAAGGGCCTTCCCCAAGGTGTTACCACAAACTGATAAGCATAGCATTGTCCAAAATGTCCTGAAAAACAGCCCCATACCGTTAGCCCTCCTCCAAACTTTATAGTTGGCACAATGCAGTCAGGCAGGTAACATTATTCTGGCATCTGCCAAACCCACACTTGCCCATCAGCCTGCCAAACAGAGGAGCGTGATTCATCACTCCATAGAACATGTTTCCACTGCTCCAGAGTCCAGTAGCGGCATTATTATTATTATTATGATATTTATAGAACGCCGTCAAATTCTGCAGCGCTTTACAATGGGTGGACGAACAGACATGTAGTTGTAACCAGACAAGTTGGACACACAGGAACAGAGGGGATGAGGGCCCTGCTCAATGAGCTTACATGCCAGAGGGAGTGAGGTAAAATGACACAAAAAGGTAAGGATAGTATTAGACTAATGACAGTTACAGAAGAGCAATCAGTCAGGAACTATTAACAGTTTAATTGATACGCTTTTATGAAGAAGTGGGTTTTTAACGATTTTTTGAAGGAGTGGAGACTGGGTGAGCATCTAACGGAGGAAGGAAGCGAGTTCCGCAGGAACCGTGCAGCCTTCGAGAAATCTTGAAGGCGAGCATCAGAGGTGGGAGTACGGACAGAAGATAGACGTAAGTCTTCAGCAGATCGTAAGGGCCTAGATGGGACATACTTGTGTATAAGGGAGGATAGATAGGTGGGAGCAGCATTATGTAGAGATTTGAAAGCAAGAACCAGAAATTTAAATTGAGCTCTATATTTTATAGGAAGCCAATGTAGGGACTGACAGAAGGGTGAGGCATGGCAGGTGCGGGCGGACAGGAAGATGAGCCTCGTCGCCGCATTCATTATGGACTGTAACGGCGCTAGTTGGGAGCACATAAGACCACTGAGAAGCGGATTACAGTAGTCAAGGCGAGAAAGGACAGTGGAATGGACCAACACCTTAGTCGCATCTGGCGTTAAGTAGGGGCGGATGCGCGCAATGTTTTTGAGATGGAAATGACAGGATTTGGCGATAGATTGAACATGAGGCTTGAAGGAGAGGTCGGAGTCAAAGAGAACACCTAGGCAGCGAGCCTGTGTGGTGGAGCTGATTGTAGCACTGTTGACTTGGAGGGAGACAGACACAGGAGTAACAACATTTGAGGGAGGAAAGACCAGAATTTCAGTTTTGGTCAAATTTAGTTTAAGGAAGTGGGCAGCCATCCAGTTAGAAACAGCAGAGAGGCAGTCAGAGACACTAGTCAAGAGGGATGGGGAGAGATCAGGAGAGGACAGGTAGATTTGAGTGTCATCTGCATAGAAATTATATTGGAAGCCAAAGGAGCTAATGAGTTTACCAAGGGAGGCAGTATAGATGGAGAACAGTAGGGGACCAAGGACTGAACCTTGGGGGACACCAACAGAGAGGAGTTGGGGAGAAGAAGCAGAGCCAGAGAAAGAAACACTGAAAGAGCGCTAGGAGAGGTAGGAGGAGCACCAGGAGAGAGCAGTATCTTGTAGACCGATATTGCGGAGGATGAGAAGAAGCTGTCGATGATCAACAGTGTCAAAAGCCGCAGACAGGTCAAGGAGAATTAGGATAGAGTAGTGACCACGAGATTTTGCAGCGAGTAGATCATTGGATACTTTGGTCAGTGCCGTTTCCACAGAATGCTTAGCGCGGAAACCAGACTGAAGCGGGTCTAGCAGAGAGTTGGACTCGAGGAAGTCTGTCAATCTCGCATACACAATTTTTTCAAGGATCTTGGATGCAAAAGGTAGAAGCGAGAGGACGATAATTGGATGGGGAATTAGGGTCAAGATTGGGCTTCTTTAGAATTGGGGTTACAGTTGCATGTTTGAAGGGCAATGGAAATATACCAGAGGAGAGAGAGAGATTGAGAATTTTAGTGAGAGGTGGAGAAAGAGAAGAAGACAGAGTACGGATGAGGTGCGAGGGAGCAGGTGGTGGGCGGGAGGACTGGAGCAGAGCAGAAACCTCCTCCAATGTAGAGGGTGCGAATGAACATAGAACAGCAGAGGGCGTGAAGTTAGGGGAAGTATTGTAAGGGGAAGAAGAAAGATGAGATATCTCTTCTCTGATCGTAGAGAATGCTTTACACCACTCAGTCCAATGCTTGACATTGTACTTGGTGATGTGAGGCTTGCATGCATCTGCTTGGCCATGGAAAACCATACCTTGAAGCTCCAGATGCACAGTTTTTGTGTTAATATTAATACCAATGGAAGTGTGGAGCTCTTCGGCTATGGAATCAGCAGAATGTTGTCAACTTCTTCGTACCATGCACTTTAGTCATCCTGAGATTGGAAAGTTTTGCGTAATAATTGCAAATTCATCTGCAATTAGTTTGGGATTTATTATATCAGACATTTTTGAGGAATAGATGTAGGCTGATAATGGAAAATATTTCCCATTACATTTGTCTTTCTTGAGCTTTTTATGGCATAGATCTTAGAATTATGTAAAGACAAATCGCTTAAACAACTAAACAAAAATAGATGTAAAAATGCAGCACATCTGAAAAGTAGGGGAAATCCTCCAAACCCCCTCAGAACAAGTAAAAACTAAAAAACCAAAAGACAATATATATTAAAACCATATAATATCAACAATAAATGAGAAAAAAAGAAAAATCACAATAAAACCTGATAATGTCCCTTGAAAATAAAAGTTAGGAGTAGTGTGTGAAGGGGGCGTGGCTAACCGCCGAACGAGATGGCCGCTCAGTAAACTCGCTCCGGCACATGGGCTCCCTATAACCCACTCCAAACATCGCTGAAACCGTTCAGAAACCTACAAAAACGATGGCAAACGCTAAAGCAAAGAAATCTGCTGCTAAAGCAGAAAAAATGAGCTTCTTCTGACAAAAATCGCAACCTGTGAGTGAAACTACACGGGTGGCTGCACAAGATGGCGCGGAAGACTCCGACACCACGTTGCCGCACACAGACCCAGAAACACCCCAACCTGCAGAATACCTCACAAAAGGCTTCTTTGAAAAAGCCATAGAAGGCATGGCAACAAAATTGATAACCACATGGCAAACGACCGCGGAACAGATTAAGCGAGAGGTGAGGGATCTCTCTATAAGGACCACCTCTGTGGAGCAACATTGCGCAGAGCTATCAACGGCGCAAGGGGACCTGTCTCAACAACTAAAGGCCCTGCAATATCAAATGGAACACATGGAAGCCCGAGTAGCGGACCAAGAAGACAGAGCTCGGCGCAATAATCTGAGACTGCGAGGCGTGCCGGAGACTGTCCTCACGGATGAACTGCAAATCTATGTACAGGGCCTACTCCTCGCATATGCTCCGGACATACCGACGGATATGCTCCTCGTGGACAGAGTCCATCGGGTGACCAAGCCAAAGCAACTACCTGACTCTGTACCCCGCGACGTCCTCCTGAGGGTCCACTTCTACCACATAAAAGAGCTTATCCCCCGGACGCACCATAGCAGGGCTGACCCCCCTGAAGACTACTCTACAATACGCATCATGGCGGACATCTCCGCAGCCACCCTCAGGCGCAGACGGGAATTTCTCCACACCACCACGGAGCTACGCACCCACGGTATAAGATACAGGTGGGGTTTCCCTACGAAAATTATACTCACCAAAAACGGGAAAACCGTGCAGATCTCGACTCCGGATGAAGGAAAGAAACTGCTCGCCAGCTGGGGCCTAGACCATAACCCCACCACGGAAGCAAGGTCTGACTCCCCCAGGGCAAGCCGCAGCACGAATATGGACTAAACAACCCATTCAGGGTCTTACGGACTACCCAGCTATATGAGGCATGCTCACTGCAAGTATACTCGAACTGTATATCATTGTTATATAAATGTACATGTAATATCACATATATAGGGCCTGTACACAGGCCAAAGCAGCACCAGGGGCCAACAGAGGCGTAGATACAATGTCAATATCTAATGTACCTCACACATAACATGCTATGCTAAAAGGCCTGCACTCGAACACATAGGTACCTCTAAAGCCCCCCCCATCCAGGGCTGATGTGGCTCAAACACTCGCCAGTGAATTACATCGCACGCACCCATGTTACCACCGCTAACGTAATCACCACCCCTGACACCACCTGCCCATTTAGGCGGACACCCCCACGGCGGGTGACGTTTGGCGACCCTGGACTAGAACTTGGCACCTTCGCCAAAAGTCGCCAACCGCCCCACAGTTAAAAAAAATAAAAAACCCCTGCCTATCCCCTAGTTTCCCCCTTCACCCCCCTGCTCCTTTTCAGCTGATAAACAACACCTGCAGACCAATTCTGCCTATACCGACGGAACGACACCCCCACCAACGTAACACACCACACACGCTACCTACACCATGATCATCTACTCACACAACACTAAAGGTCTAAACACCCCACATAAGAGGCGACTACTCCTGGACGATCTCAAACGAACCAAAGCAGACATAGTATGTGTGCAAGAAACCCACTTTGTCACCAACCGCATCCCTACGTTTGCTGCAAGAGACTACCCCCTGCAATGTCATGCAACACATACTTCGAAATCCAAAGGAGTTTCTATTCTCCTACACAACTCCCTCACAGTAGAGACACTAAGGGTCAAGAAGGACAGCCAAGGCAGATACGTGATCCTGCAATGTATAATTAATAATAACCCAATCATATTAGTGTGCCTTTATAGTCCAAACGACCAACAGCGCAACTTTCTGCACAAAGTCCTTAGGAATATACCCACAGAGGCGACAACCCCATTGGTTATATGTGGGGACCTCAACCACACCATGGACTCACGTATAGACTCAACGACGCCTAGCGACTCCATCAGGCATGTTAAATTGAAAAATGCAAACAAAGCGCTAGTAAAGCTCATTCAAGAATATGGTTTATATTACGTATGGAGAACAACACACCCCTCAACAAGGGAATACACATTCCTATCGCAGACACATAAAACCTACTCCAGAATTGACCATATACTCGTATCGGGCACTTTGCTCCCACAGGTGGAAGACTGTACCATCGGAAACATAGTGTGGTCAGACCACGCGCCGGTGACCTTATCAATACACAACCACTACCAGCACAGAGGAAAACCACCGTGGCGTCTTAATGACACACTTCTATACGACGAATCATACGTAACAAAACTGGAGGAGGATTTAGGAAATTACTTTCAACTAAACGACAACCAAGAAGCATCAATACTTTCTATTTGGCAGGCTCATAAAACGGTCCTACGGGGCCAGTTGATTAGCTGAGCCTCATATCTCCACCGCCAACGCAACAAACCATTTATAGACCTACTCAGAAGACTGAGAGACACAACAACGGCTCACCTCTTGAACCCGACAGATGCATACGCGAAAGCCATCAAGGACCTCACCAACCAACTCAACACCAAGGCGCTTGAAAAAACGGCCTACATCCTCACAAAACTGAAATTGAACTCCTATACCCAAGGTAATAAGGCAGGAAAACACTTAGCTAACGTACTCAGGCAGAAACAGGCAAACTCCAAAATCCCATTCCTGATTACCAATGCGGGAGACAAAATCCACAACCCACAAGACATAAATGACTGTATGGCATACTTCTATCACTCTTTCTACAACCTCAACATGGACCAGACACTTCATCAACCCAAAACACAAGAGATAGATGAATTTCTTACCTCTGTCCAACTACCCACACTTACGAATGACCAACAAACGACTCTCACGAATCCCATCACAATAGATGAAATAACAGACACCATCAACTCCCTCCCGAAAGGGAAGTCACCAGGCCCGGACGGACTGACTAACCTATACTATAAATGCTTTGCCCCTAACATAGCCCCCTATCTACAAAGAGTTTTCCAACACACGATACAAACAGGGACACTACCGACAGAGATGCTTATGGCACATGTCGCCACTCTTCCCAAACCAGGGAAACCACTGAACAAATGTCAGAATTTACGGCCCATCTCCCTTTTGAACACAGACATAAAGATATTGGCAAAAATCTTCTCTAATAGACTAACGCACATAATCCCCACAATTATAGGAAGAGATCAGGTAGGGTTCGTAGGGGGAAGACAGGGAGCAGATGGCACAAGAAAGACCCTAAACCTGCTTTACGAGATGCAAAATAAAAAGAACCCTGGGGTTCTGTTATCATTGGACGCAGAAAAGGCCTTTGATAGGCTACACTGGCCCTTCTTACTAGCAGTCCTACAGAAATTCGGCTTCCCTGACCAATTCCTATCGTTAGTCAAAG